GGAATACTTGCTTTTTAGGCGGGAGTGCTCCATTGTGGAGCGCTAGCTACATGTTGAAGTGTTTTTCCACACTGCAGTGACTGCAGATTTCCATGCCTGTCACCCCTCAAACACTGCTGAGCATTATTTCTGGTGGTAAGAGTGGCAAGCATCCTTCAGAAATCTGAAATATGAGCTGTTTCCTTGTTCTTTTAAATACCATCACTGGTAATGATAGGGATAAATTTGAATAGATTATGTATTCATTCTGGTTCAGTTGGAGATTTCTACTCAGTTCTAAAGGAACCCTTCCTGTCACCTTGGTTTAAGGCCAAGCAGGTTTGGAGGTTAAACATTTTTGAGTGCAACTTCTGAGGCCTGTTTGAAGACAATTAATTATTTTGGTCTAAACAATTTTATGAACAATAATAAAATGTGATATGGAGCAACATGAGCTTTATTCCCCTGTGCCCTGCTAGAAGAAAAAAAATCTTGTTTGGTTTGTTGACTCAAATCAGTAAGAAAACCATCAGGTGGAGGAAGCCTTCTCAGGAGCACTGATCTGGCAGGAGAAGTAGGCTGTTTTCCTCCCTTTGTTCCCTAACACTTCCACCCAGTCCACCTTGCCCTTCTCCATCCAGAGACTGCACTGCATGCCCTCCTCCTCCCTGCCATGCCTGCTTTCCACAAAAAGCCACCCAGACAGAGGTGTGGGCAATCTGTGTGGAACTGTAAGAGCCTGCAAGAGCCATTTTCCTCCACTTCAAGGCACCCTATCTCATATGTCTGTCCTTTGATTTGCTCCAGGTAAATACAATGAAATCAGAAAGAAGCACTGAAAAGCAGAAAGGAAGCAGAGCTAGTGACTACTGCCTATGGTATCCTTGGAATGGTTTTTCCTGTCCTTCTGCTGCAGTTTCCAGCCTGTTGTCTTCCATTTTGTTTTTGCCATTCCTTAATTTCTGGTCATAAACTCTTTAGCATGCAACCTCCTCCTCACAGCAGCGCTTGTGCGACTGCCTGCAGATGCTAATGCAGAGCAGCTTCTCCCATGGCTCCATGTTTATTAGTGTGGGGACCATAGAAATTACCTCATTTTTAACATCTCTTTTGCAGTAGCTATGAAACTTGGTGATGTAGAAGCACCGAGTGGACCTTTTTCATTTTTTCACAGCACAGCCCCAAGATAAATTCTCCTACGTAACTTTTTACGTGCTGGCAGTGTGTGTATTTATTGCTCAATATTTTGCATGGTGTTTTCATTTGGAATTGACATTTTGTGTGACATTTTATACTGGAACAATAGATGGGCAAAATTGAAATTTCAAGTCTGAAATTCCAAGTCTGTTACTAAGAATTAGTAGTAGTCTTAATCTATTTTAAATAACTTGTGTCTTCTTTGCATTCTTGTCTGATTGCATCTTTCCAAGAAAACAAAATTAAATGCATTTTGAAGATGGGAGGGTGCTGAATGGTCTGGACATGCTGGTTTGCAAACTTGTGGAGCAGCTGTCCTACTCATGGGTGACAAGAGGGCTCAGATGAAAGGGTCTGTGCTGCTGGAGACATGACCAGCTTTCTCGGGAGACTGCTTTCAGAAGGATTGCAGCAATATTGCTTCCCCATCGTTACTAGTGGGTATTGCTGCACACGTGTATAATTTGTGCTAGATAAAATCAGGAGGTAATAAAGGGAGGTAAAAAAGAAGAGAAGAAATGAGAGCTCTCTTATGTGTTTTTCTTAAGCAGAAAAAAAACATCCTGGGGACGCCACATTAACTCAGGAAAAGCACAAGCTGCTTTAAATCACAAAAACTTGCATTGCACCAAGTCCTTTAGTTTGGGAACCATTTCATCATGTTATGAAGGAAAGTTGCAGACGAGGCATGTTTACTAGACCTTTAATTGCTACATTTAGTGTAAAGCCTTTTTTTATTTTCCTTTCCCTCCCCTTTTTAATGACAAGAAGCCAGAGTTTGCTGTGCAAATGAAGCAGGCTTTGCGAGAATCAGATTCACTTTGGACGACTCTTCACATTCCTAGTCATCATTACATTAGGCAGCACAATCCCATCTCTGGTTGATGGGCAGCAAAAGTGGGCAGCCTGCCAGGTAGACGTTTCCATGGCTCCCAACCCCCAAAGGTGATGCGTTTTTCAGCTAATTCAATGAAGAGTGGGCTGAACTTTGGGTCTAAACTAGACAATAGCTGCCTTCGCAGTATCAGCAGAATGGTTTATGGGAATGCACTCCACATTTGGCAGAGCATCATGTGACCTTACGGCTGAGATTTTGTGATGGTGCCAACGGAGACTTGGAAAGCAGCACTCGTTCTGACTTTTTTCCTCATTTCTTACATGGCTCAGAAAATGGTGGATCTTAATACTTGACTTTAGCCAGACTCAGCAAGCGATTGAGCTCTGAAGCACAACTTTGCCTTTATTCTGGCTTTTTTGGCACACCACCAGGAGGCTGTCCCTTTCACGCCTGATAAATTCTGCTTCTTATCTCCAAATAGAAAAAAGAAAGAAAGAAAGAAAGAAAGAAAATATAAGCAGAATATTTAGACTTCATAACTGCATTTTTAAACTACGTGTTGTATTTTTTTATTGCTGATCTGTAGTTCAGAACAGCCCTCCTGAGTGTCTGAAGGATAAAAGTGATTTGTTTTTTTTTTTTTTTTCCTTTTTTTTTTTTTTTCCTCCCCGTGTTTAATGAACAGGCGTTTGAACTGGGCAAATGGGGCGACAGCATTGAACATGAGCTCATTGCAGCATAGTGTAGCAAACTGGCACCCTGCCTTTTCACCCCTTTGCTTCGGCAGATTTGTGCAATCCCCATTTGTAAAACCGGCACAGGGGCGAGGTGAATTTTCTGGTCTCTCCCCACCTCTCGCACTGTGCAGGCGGTGGCGGCAAGGATTGGTGCAGCTTTTGCGCAGTGCTTTGTGCCTGGAATTCCGAGAAGAGCAAGAGAGAAGACAGGCATCCTGGTCTTCTTCCGAGAAATAACAGGAGCCCTCAGAAGAAGAAACAAATCTGAGTTTGTCCTACATACAAGAGTGCAGAAAAAAAAAAGTGGCTCTCCTGCTTCCAAAAAAAAACCTGGCATGTTTCACTGCAGAGACATCAGGATGTGTTAGAGCTTCTTAAAGCAGTGTAGCAAAATGAGCCCAGGAGATTGATTCTTTCAGTAAAAACAAAAGAGAAAGAAGGCAATTTTGTTTGTTTGTTTTGCTATTGCTAATATAGCAAAATTTGGCACTGGGTGAAAACGTACCTTTCATATCAGGTATAGCTTCTTTTCCTTTTTTTTCCTTTTTTTTTGTTCCATTTTAAACGTTGTTTTGAAACTGAGTCCTTGTGTATTAATTTTAACATAGCCATTCACACTTTTTTAAAACTAACTTTTTGGGGCTGTGTTTAAGCTAATGCTGCTAAAAATAGAAAGTAAACAAAAATCGAGGTTCTGTGGAAATAAGCGCTTAGGCACATTTTATCATAGCTAAGCACTGGAGTTAAGCAAAGATTGTAATGTTACATTTATTCAGTATAAGCTGTGGTTCTTGCTACGAAAGTTGTGGGTATTTCGATCTGGTTGCTAAGGAAAGTAAATTCTTTTTTTATAGTGTGACTCATGCTTTCGGTTTCTAAAGAGAGGAAGAAAAAATTTTGCTAACCGGTAGGAAAGGCTTGCTCTTGTATCGAGTATATTAAATTTATGTTTGAGTTAATTTGTATATGAGTTCCTTACCATTTTGTATATAAATCCACTTCAAAGAAATCACTGTAATAAGCCCTGGAATAAAAGGCACATTATTGGGACGTTCATGAAGTAAGCCTGGCTTGCAGCTAGTAACAGTGACTATTTTAAGATGTTCGGTAAAGCGGCATTTGTCCAGGAATAGCTGAAAACAGTATTTAAGATATCCATTCAGAGTGTTTGTGATAACTGCATGTGAAGTTAAAGCAAGTTTGGAGCATATGACGCTTTAGCAGTAGACCCTGTTTGTTACAACATTTGTCTGTCTTTTGTAACATATTACTTGGCAGTTAGAGCAGTCTGTAGCAAAATTCAGCTTGACTGACGTATTTTAAAATACTCAGTCAAATCAGTCTTTTATCTGTTTGGGATTCTTTCTTTATTTATTTTCCTGGTCTTTTATATTTAAAATACAGAAATCTTCAGCTAGAAACTACTTTGAAACTTGCAATGTCTTTTTCATCAGAAACTCTGACGTATTTATCAATATGTTCATGATAGATGCTTGTCTAATGAAAAGGCTACAAATATATTGTGGCTTCACAAAATAGAATTGCTTTTTAATACTTTGCTTTTTATGCATTAGTGCTTAGATAATAAGTCCAAAGATCTGATGCTAATTTTGCTACTTTATATTTTTGTTGTTCTGCAATGAATTCTGGGAAACAGTGGATGGAGATCTTATGTATATGACACATATACCTCCATTCACCCATTTTGTACAAGAAAGCGTTCCTTATATTTATGGTGATACTTTCCTCCCGAGTCATGTTTTCTGGAATAATTCTGTGTCATTACTGTCTATATCTGTTGAGAAGCCTATGCTTTCATTTGCTTAAAAGAACTTTTAAAAATTTCTACAGTTCATGATATTGATAGTATTTATTCCCTTAAGTTTTACAAGATTTCATGATTTAAGCCATAGCCTTTGTGTGCAGTTCCGTACCAAACTATCTTGTTGTATTCACCATTTGATAAAAACTCTTCATTTTTGTGAAGCATTCCTCTCTTCTGATATTCCTCTTAAAGATAAAATATTTGTGAGGTGTAATAGGATTAGGAAATGCTAAATGAAATCATCCGTTTGTCTAAGTGTATGTGTTGACAGCATGTCTTCCCATGGCCCTGAGAGGGGCGTAAGCAATGTGTCAGTTTTATGTATTAAAGGCATAATTTCTAACTTTTTGTAGGTTTCCTGTTGTTCTGGAAACACTTTCCACAGAACAGTTATTTCAAAATCTTTCTCTCTCATTCATTGTAGTGAAAGAAAAAATTTCAAAAGAAAAAGGAAACTGAAGAAGTTAATTGTACCAGAGCAGAATCCAGCGAAGGTAATACAGTGATCTTAAATAATTTTCCTGTTATAAATTAAAGTTCATGTCAATACCATGAAGCAGATTAGCTTTAATAGAATTTCCTTCCTTTCCTTCCTACAAATGTCATTTTATAGATACATATAAAACCTTTGCCGTGATTACTTTCTGTTGGGATTATTGCAGTTTGGGTAGCCCTTATAGTTATTGTTTCCATGAAGCTTTACAATAGATTGAAAGATCAAAATACAAGTTATTCTCTTGTTATGCCTAGTAAATATGCTTCACAAATACATGTACTGCTATATTTGTATTACTAGTATATTTATTGAACAAGTACATTTACTAGTAAATGAGTATACTAGATCAAGTGCTTGTGAAATGTGGAATGCCTCTTCTATTTACAAATAAGAAAAAAGAAAAATAGAGAAGCCATTTTATAGCACTTACTAGAATCATTCAGTAAATTAAATATGCAGTCTACATACTTATTTCTGATACTAGGAGAAATGTTTTACTTTGAGGTTTGCCTTACTTATTCTCTCAAGCATCAGCAGAAAATAATTACAAAAATGTCTTTCCTTTTGAATGCTGGAGCGTTGTGTATGATGTGAAAGCAGGTTTAAAACATACTGCTCTAGAATAAAAAGGAGTTGACACTATTTTTAAAATGCACAAGAGTATACTGGAAAATGTAGCATTAAATCAAATAAATTAAAAAATAAAAGGGCCATTTAGTAATGTTCAGCTGTCATTACTGAAGCAGAAATACATGTTACAGTTTGCAAGAAAGTGAAGCATTGGGCTGATTCAAAAACTTTGTTATTGGCAGCGCTCGCTCTCTTAAAAGACGTTTTACCCGACAAATGATGACAGAATTAGGCCTTCAGTGGAAAACAGTGGAAGTCAGGCATCAAAAACTTATTCAGATACAGATTTCTGTAAGCTGCTAAAATCAGAAGCGACTGTTCTATTGTACCTGTTTTTAAATTTATATCAGCTTCTTATGCCTGCTGTCAGATATTATGCTTTCTGATGCAGTGCTTATAAATGCTTTCCTTTAAAATATGTAAGTTATAATGCCACATCTGTATCTCACCTTTTTACATTACTGATTGTTACTGATCTTTTTCAGTAGGACATCCTACATTTAGGGACTGATAATTTATATTTCACTTCTTACTGGTCACAAGAAGAAAGCATTTGTTGTAGGAGTTAACCCTGAAGTTTTGCAAAATTGCTTTTCTACTTCGGCTGCAATCTTACTATTAGAGAACAGCACTGATGGGAAAATTAGTGAATAAAATATACACATTAACTTCTTTGCTTTGATTAATAGGCATTGTTTAATCAACAAGCTATAGTCAATCAGTACTTAGATACCCTGTAGAATGAAGAAATAACTAAGCAGTCTTTTTAACGTTGTATGAGAGCTGCAATCCAGTGTGCCTCATTGCATTTCAGATTTAGTGGGGTGATGTTTATTTTAAGTTGCAAAACAAAATGTGGGCTCAGGCACAAAATACAAACCCTTATTGTTCACTATTATGCCACATACAATTTTGGATTCTGGACTTGCGGGCTGTATGCTGTAGTATGATTCAATTCCAGCTGTTGGGATTTGAGAGTTCATGGGTAACACGAAGTGTGCTCAATAGGATATTAATTCCAGCCAAAGTCAAAACAGTGGTGCATCCACCATTTATGCAGTTTTAAGTAGCCTTCTTTACGACTGCAATATTTTTACTCTCAAATACTTGTCCTCACAGTTGCTTTCTATGTTTGTTTGTTTAAAGTCTTCTGTGTCTAACTTTAAAAGGAAAATGCTAATCAGTGATGCCAATTGGCATAAACCCGTAGATCCGATCTTGTGTTGAAACGCACTGCACAAGCTCGCTTCTATGGGTCTGTGTCAGTATGGTGATCTGGCAAAAGTTTATGTAGCATACACTTCAGTGGAATTTGACAACAGACCCAAGTGAGCATTTCAAACAAAACTATATATTGTTTTTGGAATGCTTCTCTTGTCTATTGCCTCTTCTTCAAATTAATTTAAGTGACTTGTTCTGTCATCTGTAGCTTCAAGTACCTTTGGCTTAATATCTTATTAAAATTTAAAGAGAGATGTGAGGGAATTGTAATGTTTTCAGTGAGGAAGAGTAGGGTGTACTATTTGCCATTTTTAATAAATACAACATTACAGGGGATTATGCTAGAAAAAAATATATTTACATTTACATTTGAATTTTATTGTAAAATAAGACCAAATAGTTGTTTCTTTCAAAAAATATTTGCATCATTCCTATCAAATAAGTACATATAAATACACACATAGAAACATTCATTATACATACATTATATATTTATATGCCTATAAACATGATAGAAAATAATCTCTACCTAGTTGAAAAATCTGTCTAAGAATATACCTTGTCATCTGAAAAAATGGGGAATAACTGCAGACTATTTCAACAGCTGAAAGCCTACCCCCATGGGAAATATATAGGCCTGTGGCTGCTGTCACATTTCAAAGAAAGGCTGAAGAAGTGAAGAAGACTTTATGGTCACCGTCGGAAGCTGTGTGCATCCGGGTTGAGGTAGTAGGTTGTATGGTTTAGAGTTACACCCTGGGAGTTAACTGTACAACCTTCTAGCTTTCCTTGGAGCACACTTGAGCCATCGAGGAATTCATCATCACTTTAATCTGATCAGGGAAAGTATGCAAAAAGGTATTGTGTCATGGCTGTACAAAATAATCACTCTGAGGCTTTATTGATGTTGAAATAGTCCTGATTACTTGATTATTTCATTTGCATCCTGTTATGAACAATTCTAACATGCTGTCTTAATGGACTGTGACTATTTACTATAGACACTTAGGAAAGACTGATGATCATTTTAATTTCATTAACAGAAAACCTTAAAATTTTATTTTGATTTATAAATTCATAAATAATATCAAGTATTTAATGCTTTATCCTTTCTCCATAGAAATAGGTTATCTTGCAAAGTTGATCAATTTTTTTAATGTTCAGCTGCACATTATTTTTAAAGGGAAAAGTACAAATATTTATGTCCTTATAACACTTTCCAAAAATACTGCATGCTGCTGATTGGATAGCAAGGGGCAGTATCACAAGTTGGTCTTCATCTTCTTTGGGTTTATGATTTGTTTTCTTTGTACACACGCAACTCAGTGTTACAAAGACACTGCCACGCCGCCTATGTTTTCACTGCTTCCTGATTCATACGCCTCTCAGTCTGATCTCATGCTGAAGTCTCAGCATCTGTGTCCTGACCCAGCTTATCAGCCTATCTGAGTCCTGACTCATGATGCTCCTGTTATTTCTGGCCCCTACTAAAATTCTAACACATCTTTGTTAGCTGGCAGGACTTTGAGAAGTCATGTGTCCTATGCGAGCTAATCCAAAGTGCTGGGTACCTCTTCAAGGCAGCACAATGTCCCTATGCTACCCAGTTGTAGCACACCATTTTTAAAGACATGGGGCCAGAATGCACTATCAAAACAGCTATTTTATCCCAGTCAGAACTGAAGATGAAGGTGTGCTTATGGAATTCTGCTGTTGTTTATGTTTTAAGTTGTACAGTTGTACATTCCCGTTTTGTGTTTTTTTCAGTCTTCTTTATCTTGTGGAAAAAAGGAAAAAAAGCACTAGATTTATACATCTCATAAGCAAGTGCTTATCAAAGAAAGGATAGTGAATCTTTTCACAGTTCTGGCATTCCTAGGAGCAGGTATGAAATGAAAGGGACAAGGATGATGCTGGCTTATCAGCCATGATTCTTCACATGAGGCCTTAAAGACGAATTCAATCCCATCAATGTGATAGAAAGCATTAGCACCACAAAGAGCACCTGGACCAGCCAGTGGCACTCTGTGAAAAACTTATTCTGTCCTCTGTAAAAAGAGAAAATCTTCATCATTTTTTATTGGCAATGATAATAGCAATAATTTTGCCTATAAATGATTTAAGATCTGCTGATAATAGGCAGAAGAGTTGAGCCATGCCTCCATGGTGCTGTGGCTGAGGGAGTGATGTTGATGAGGGATGTAGGTACATCAGATCCCTGTGGGCCAAGGAGAGAGTGAAACATGGCTGTCCTGCACAGCACCCTGGGCTGTGATCCTACAGTTCTTAACTTAACAGCAAATAGTTCTTTCTAAAGGGTTTTTTGTAGCACGGCATTTGTTGCTTTACTTTTATTGCATGCAACCAGAACAAAATGTTTGATATTGTCAGCATTCATTTTTTTCCTGCAGCAAGAAAAGTTAAGGATTCTTGTTTTAAGTGGATTCAATGCTTGCTCATATTGTGCTTATTGCTCTCTTTTCAGTTCTGTTCAAAAAATCAGTTACATACAGGTTCTGTGTTTGACTTTTTCTACTCCACTGTAAGGCTTGCCTAACCACTCTCCCAGATAACACATAACAAAAGGAGGAGATGAAAATGGATTTAGTCTCTTTTTAATAGCAGTTATTTTCAGTGATTAATGTTTGTAATAGGAAATTGATAAAGGGGATATGTGACAGTTAAAGGGATGTACAGTGGATTTTAAGCCTGTCTTGTTGTGTAAGGGAAAGAGAAAGAATGTTGAGTGAAGCAGAGATACTCCAAGCTACTAGAAAATGCTTAATGAGGCAGCGACTAAATAGGGATATAGTGAGTAGACCTTCATGAACCAAGGATGCTTAACAGGGATCACTCACAACCTGAATAAAAGCTGCAATATCCTCTGTAGATTCAAAAAGACCCTGGTCACCAGCATGTTTTCTTCCCCTTCTATTTTAAAAAATTCTTGTATAGTGTAAGTCCACTGTAATCGTAATTGCTGTTTTCTGCCAACAGAGCAACAAGTGTTCAATCTTTTTTATATTAATTCTTCAATTAGTAGCAAAATATGAGAGATTTTTTTATTCTGAGCTGAACCAAATAGAAATGACTGATGCAGAAAATGTGGGACTGTTTCATCTGTCTTTCAAATGCAAGGTAAATTTG